ATAATTTATCATGTACATCTAATTATTTCGTGCATGTGCAGATTTGTTGCTTGTATTGCAGAATTCCATGTAAAGTAGAATTAGAAACATATTATGCTTAACTTTCAAAGTGTAATGCAACAACTTGTGCAAAAGTAGTGAACAGTCATGCAAAATCCAAACTGCAATAATCATACTGAGATCTACGTTTAAGTGTCAAAGGAAGTCAGAAGGTAATAAGGCCCCAATCTTCTTCATCATCAGGTTTCATTGTTTTGCCTCTTAATGGCGTTCCTCTCTAACCTCCAGTTTGATCCTGTCATATCTGTACCTGCATTCAAATTTTGACCTTTTTAAAGCTGTTTTTCTCGATGTCCCAGAATTGCAGTAATTTACACACCACAATCTGGTTTTTGCTACGGTACGTCCAAACCCCGTGGTCCCCTGGCTCTCAAGATTCGACACCTGAAGATCCTGGGATACACCCCTGTCCTGGTGAGACTCTCTTTCTTTTATTTGGAACACTTTACCAAGTCCTCGTTGTGGCCTCCCACTGACTCCTTTTCTGGAGTTATTACAATTAGTTTAAAGGTAGAAGGTGGTCTGTGACTTCTTAATGCCAGTAATGTTCTTCGATGTGCTTTTTATTATAACACTTTACTTTCATAACATCCAAACCTCATGGCATTTTAGAAGATTAAAATCCTGAAATTACAATATGAAAATGCAATATTACATTTTTACATTTGTTCAATAAACTTAAAAAAAAAATCACATGCTCCCTGTACATATCACTGTTTTCTAATTTAGTTGCTATGTAACATGCTCAACATTGTGTTTCATCCTTGGCGCAATAGCTTCTTGACATCAAGTCATATCTGTCTTTAAACAACACACTATACTGCCACTAATGGAAGAAGCATCAGTGCTCAGTTCATTTCAGTGATTTTCATCCTCCTAATCCTGTTCCCCAGGTAACAGAGCAGGAGCTGCAGTCTGACGAAGAGAGGACGGAGACCCTCAGGGGACTGATATTTCCAGAACACAAAAGATCAAAAACATAGACTGCAGTGGAGCAGCTGGGATCTTGACGACTGATGTCAGCGTTACTGTGAACACAGGTTTTGCTGCGCTACTCAAAGAATAAGAAAATGTAAGTGTTTAAAATGACTGTGGTGCCTGAATGAATGGAGGTACCAGTTAAGGCACACATGAAGTTTTATGAAAATTGAAGACTTTCTGATTACCGCTTACGCTCATTTTTTTGTTGCCAGTAGTAGGTTATTGTTGTCTGCAGAAGAGACATGGACGGAATTTGTGAGCCATGCTCAAACTGACTGTATGAATCATGCATTTCTAGAAATAAAAACCACATCCAGCGATATTTAAATGACTCTATGATTCAGTAAAATTTGCATGAAAGTGACTTTTTGTAGCTATTTTTTTTTCAGAAACCTTTCCTTTGCTCACGTCCATATTTTGTAAAAGATCTTATTCGTTAACCAGCCTAACAGAAACAATATGTCAAATTTGCCGACGCTTGTGCCGGTTTTTGAGTTAGCTCCTAAATGAAACCAATAAAACCAGCATGAGTGCTGGCTGCTTGCAGTAGCTGCACTGAAACTGCAAGGTGAGCAAGGTAAGAGGTGGAGTCCCTTTGAAGCTGCTACATCTGCAGAAAGCACCAAGAAGGAAAATAAGTAGAGGGAGGAAGACAGGAAACTGTGCACATTGTTATTGTTTGAAGTGTTTGCCACCGCTCCTCGTATATCTGCGTCTAATCAACCTCAGCGACGGTGTCTGAGAAGACAATTTGATGTTTGTTTTTCGCAGAAACAGAAGCCTGTAGGCTTGAAACAGAGGTGCAGTGCAGTGGTAATCATGATCATAACATTTAGATTTTTGTAGAGGCCTGTAACAGCAGGTATTTGCTTATAAAAATGTCGTCACTCGGATCCCCGGGGTACCACATAGATTTACGAGCCCTTTAAATGTGGTTAAATCCCCCCTCCATCAGACACCACCTTCTCTTTCGACCACAAAGACAGGGGTTGCTAATCACACGTCTGAGTGTGTGAGAAAGGCAGAGTGAGTGAAACAGGAGGTGAGCAGAAACCAAAACTGTTAGGTATGTGCCTTTTTTTTTCTTTTTCATTTCATTTCATACAGCCACAAGTGTAGAAGGAACTGCTACTTTTGCCGCGTGGGCACAAAACAACTACAGTATTGACGACAGAATACACCAACAAAACAAATCGCTCTCAATAATGTCCTGTTCAAAATAAGCTACTAAAAATGACACCCGGTCTGTTTGTGTCCAAACTGAGGGGAGGAGAGATGTGCAAATGATCCGGTGGAGGAATCAGAGGTATCGTGGGATGGGATTCTGAACCCCTCTTTTCTTCTTGTTGCCTCTGTGTGCTCTGGGTTTGGTGTTCATGTAGTCACTCTGAGAATCCGTATTCTTCAGCTTCATCTGTAAGACACATAAAGACAAATGAGCAACGACCATTTTGTGCCTTTTCTGCATCAATTTATGACGAAATGTCTTTATGTATGGAGAGGAAAACTATACGCTGTAGAGGACAAATGCACATGTTCTGAATATTGAGGTGCATGCATCTGCTGCATCATCCCTGAAATCTACACCTGTGCACACTCATGAAGGGTCAGCTGGGAGTGCTACGTACAGATAACCCACATACTTCTGATCTTGAACAGTGGTAGTGGATGTTAGATAGTGGTTTGTATTAGGTGATGATATGAGAATTAGTGATTTTACATATACACACACAAATGTTGTAGTTGTTGAACTGAACTATTTATCACGTTATTGGATAAATTCCTGCAAGGGAAGACAAGATTGTGGTGATCAATTAGGCCACAAAAGCCCTGGTTATCAAGGAAATTAAGGAACCTGAAGTGGTTCGTCACATAAAAGTTTCATAATGTGGCGGACTTACGTTGAGACCAAGGAAAAAAATAAAAATACTATAAGGTTCCCAAGATGGGGAATGGGACCCCTGACACCACTGGCAGGGGTTGTTTAATGATTTCTAGAAATAAAAGATAAATAAAATCAAATTACAAACTATCACAAAAACCCCAAAACAAATCCCGGGCTTCCTGTTCCTATATACTGTATTTGTACTTAATATTACCATCTAAAGAATGAAAATTACTTTAATCAATTCTGCTGCTAGCCCCTGAAGTTACTCTGTTGTCAGGTTTGGTCAAGTTAGGTTATTAATGTGTGTTTGTATTTATATGCTTCACTACCTCCTGGGGGGATTGCAAGTCTTTGGTGCTCTTGTTCTGAAAACCCTGCACTAATGGATAAACACAAAACGAATGTAAACGTCTTCTTAATTTTTGGCAGTGGGGATAAAGCTCAGACCATCTTGGCGGGAAACCATGAGACACATAGTTGTTCTAATTATAAAAAGAAAGAAAGAAACTGTTGAAATTTATTAAGAAAAACCTCATTAATGGGATGTTTTGACATGTGACATATCTGTGTAGGTTTTCAGTGATCCACGTCTTGGTAATTCTAAGAGCTTTAATAAAAGACGACTAAACTTCTCTTTTTGGTTCTTAAAGACTCTCCTGAGGAAAAGGGTCTGCGACACCACTCATCAGCTACTTATAGCACATTCTTGAGATCAACACCTTGAGTCAGACACTGAGAAGTGAAGAATAAGATGAGAAGTGAAACATGTTAAAGAACCAAAAAGAGACGACTAGCTGACATGTGGCAAATCTCTAAAACCCTGTCTATGGTGCCTTGAGTAGCTTCATGTTTAAAACGACAAATGTTGGCGCCATGTGTACGAAAATATGTGCTGATCTTGAAAAGGCCAGACAGCATCTAAGTGAAAGAGAAATGCACAGTGAACAGATTGTGCAGCACTTTTTTCCTCCTCAATATGAAAACATGCGTCATAGGTGTACTGCTAGTGAGGAAACAACGTTTCTTGTAAATTGGTTAAAAGATGAGAGGACTTCCCCTAAAAATGGTTGAATATTGTTTCCTACAATTAAAAACAAGGAAGAGCTTGCAAGGTTTCTAACTTCTCCTCTATGGTTGCCTCAGAAATATCTTACCCAGTTGACCGAGGCGAAGATGGTGACTGCGAGGCTGTAGGTGCCGAGAACTGCGACCACCAGGATCCAAATCCATGGATAGCTTGGGGTTTCTCTTAAATCTTGTTGTTCTGGTGTAGTAATTTGACTGTTGTTTTTTTCACTTCTCGGGCAGTGGATCTCTGAAAGAAGGATATTCAGGTCGTGTTTAGTCTACTGTACTAATGCATACAAAGTTAAAGATGTGCCTATGACCTTGGCACCTCTTAGGGAATATTTACCTTCATCCACTATGAGGATCCTCTGTGCAATTTCTGTTATATACGGAGGAGGGAATACTTTTATAGCCCTGCAACTGTAGATTCCATGGCTTGCAGCTGTCGCTTCAGTGACGTTGAAAGCAACAAATTTGTTCTCTTTGTCTCTGTATGGCTTCACGTCCAGCCTGCCGTGCAGTGGTTTGTGGTTTTGTGACTTTTCTTCACCAGTGAACGTATGGTTGTAAATCACCTCCTTGCCCTTACGAAGGACAAATGTCAAGTCCTCACCAGTCACATTTGGACACGGCACAGTGAAAGAGATGCTGCCGTTTGCAGAGACATAGTGAATTTCAGGTTCATCTAGAATGAAAAGATGGGACAACGTTTCTTTATTCTCTTACAAACAGTGCACTGTAAGATCTCAAAATAAGATGCGGCATGAACCACGGCTCGGCAAAAAAAAAAACCTGCGAGTGTGACATGGAGCACGAAGCGCCTGTTGCGGTAAACCTATCCAGGATGCCTGCATCTATCTGTAACTGACACCTTTGCACAGTAACTTGTGTCACAAAGATGCAGCTCATGCAAAGATCAAATTTATTTGCATTTACCTCCTCTAACTGAAATTCAGCTTTTGAAACCTGTCATTTCAAAGCGTCTCCGCCTCCACATGGAATTTGTTTGATATCAGCACATCTAAAGTGCACTTACTTCTTTCAGCCAGGCTCACATTTTTCATGAAAAACAGAAAATTTGAAAGCCATACTTGAGTCATCCGCCGACTAAACTGTGCCACTCACAAGGTTGTGGTTCATGCCATATAGTGCCATGTGTTGCACGGGTGTGTCTTAAAATTATTGCTTGATACACTTAACACCAGTTGTCCTAAAACTGGTGCCTCACATAATTTCGATATTCCTCTGCTGACGATACCAAATACGTGTGTTTAACCAGCATTTGGAGACTGTTAGTGCTAATCAGAAGAGAAACTGGCATGAACTTTATTTAAACCTAACCTTTCCAGGTTTTATGCGCCTATTTTAACTAAAGCAAACCCTGAAATATTTACGGTACCCATCCTGATTTGTAGCAGTTTTAACTCATGACGCACTTGAGCTTTACTAATCAGGGGGCTAACCTCAGTGTCCACATATGAAACCAAACCATCCCACTGTAACCACATGTTCAAAAGTCTCTTGGATTTTCAACCCCAAATTGTAATTTACTTCTAGTAACAACTACGACCTGAATACTTGTAAGTAGATTTTAATGTTTCGTAAGCCATATGCTCAAAGTGTAGTGAAGTTTACAACTCACCTTCGCAGTTACAGGTGCTCTCAGTGGCCCGAGACAATCCGCAACCCAGGAGGATTATGAGTATCCAGCAAAGTCCCATTTTGATGTCTTGCGCTGAGAGCATGAACTTGCCTCCAGCAGAATGATGCCCTCAAAGCTCATCACCTAAAACCCGAAGCTCCTCCAGCAGACTACATGAGCTGCAGAGAAACTTTAGCCGATATCATCTGCGCTGGTTCCATGCACGTGTTCTTCTGGCTGCAGTGCATCATATTCTTGCTCTGCCTCTGACTGAAGCACTCCCACAGTGGGTGCTGTAGCGACTGAAGCTCACACACTCTCTGAGAGAGAGAAAACATCCTGTGGCAGTAAACCGCCTCTTCTTCTGAAGTTTCCACTGTCTCCTGGAGTTTCTGATCTTTGTAATTGTTCCAAGTGTGGTTCATGTGAGGCTATGGTCACGAGTTCATGTAAGCCAAAAGGCAGAACGCTTTTCCTCATTTCTGAGAATCTTTTTTTTTTGCCATGTGTAATTTATTTGTGTGTAAAATCAATTCAGACAACTTTACTGAACCCAAAGATTACAATTAAGTGTGCTTTACCCATTCCATAACTACAAAGCCTACAGGCAAGGTCAGAGGTCAGAGGTCAACATTCGTGGGGCAGCAGGAGGGAACAACAGATAGCTGTAAATATAATAAAAACATCTGTTGTATTTCATATGAATCATAAAGAATTGAAGTGACTAGTCTCAGCTATTAATAGCCTGATAGTAGCAGTAGTAAAGTAAATAATACCAATTATTTATCAGATTTGTCTGTGAAAACACATTTAATCATTGTTAATGAATGTGTTTGTGTTGTGCACACACTGTCGAGAGATATACTGCTTATTATTTCATGCATTGGGTTAAATTGTGCGGTTGTGTAGCAGGAAGACAGAATCAGAGAATCAGCACGATATTAATCACATGTAAACCACACAAAGATGTAGAACACCTCATTTAAAAAAGCACTATTACGTCTATACACCTGTTAATGCCTTTACCAGAAGAGAAACTTTTTTTTTTACTCCCGAGAGAGCAGAAATGGGTCATGGTTGCAATGATGGAGTCAGACAGTTCACAGAGCAACCAGGTTGACCTGGACCAACACACAACTGATTTGAAACTGTTTTTTGTGTCACTTATATAATCGTTTGCTTATGCATAACGGCCATGTAGAAGAACACCATATAAATTACTATTTTTTATGCAACCGAAAGAGATTATTTAAAATTATCTGCTTGACAGATTATGTAAAATGTACAGATTATAGAAATATACTCTGTAATTTATGCACTTTCTCCTTTGTAGTAAAATCAAATCAATTCAAGTTTATTTATATTGCACATTTTGAAACAGCTGAAGTTGACTACAGTGTTGGACATGTTCTAAGACAGGAAAACATCGTGTGAAAAAGAAAGTAAGAAAGAAAACAGAACTTGTAAGATGAAATATATAAAAAACATTAAAATATTTAGACCACCGAGACCAACCAAAGAGTTTTTGATAAAATGTCAATGAAAGAGGAACACGTGATTGTAAAATAGGACGGCTGTTCCAAAGCTTTGGACTTTTGGAATATTGTGAGTAGTGACAGTGAGGTAAAGTGACCAGAAGTGCAATGACCCCATGTGGAAAAGTTTACTGAACACAATGAGAAGGAGCAGCAGATCTTGAAGTGACATTTGTTTGACTGCCAAAGTGTCACTGCAGTAAAGGCTGACCAACAGAGAAAGTATGTTAGGGACAAGTGAGCAAGAAAGTGTCTCGATGAGTCAATAAATGCACTAAATGTACCAACAGTGGCAGTACGCTATGAATGTGGTGTGCTGTACTTTTAGCTAAGAGAGAGTGACTGTCTTCTCTAATAGTGTCAATAATTAACAATATCTAAACACAATCTGTTTGTATTTACGATAAGACACGACAGGAACAGGACCATTTTAATGCAGCTGTCAGTTTTGACTTTTGGGACATTTTGCTTCAATAGCATGTTTTCTTTCAGTCCAATCTAAAAAAAATAAAAAATAAAATAACGACGTCCTCCAAAATACACATTTAGTTCTTTATTTGATCACATTTTCTCTATTGCATCGGTTGATTTCAAATACAGTGCATATCTTTAAATCATGTTTCCTCAAAATTAGTTTTTGTTCTGGGCCAGAAATCTCTACTTCAGAAGCACTTCTATTCACCAACTTTTCAGTTCCAGTCAAAGCTGAATTTATCTGACAATTTATTCAGAAAAACATGGCAATATGGCATTTGATTTTTTTAAAAAAAAATTTTCTTGTCTGATTTATTGAGTGATAAAAAAGAAAGATCCAAAATAGTAGACCAAAAAATACAGCTGACTTCATACAATATTCAGATTTCTGTTCCGGTTATTAATGCAAATTAGTGCATTTTTATACATATAATGACTTTTTTTTTTGCAAATATAAATTTGCTATTTTTGAAAATTTGTCATAAAAAAACAACATTACCTGAATTTTAATTATCAACTTGCGAAGTTTCACAATAATATCTATTCACGAAAAATGTTACCCTACTCACCTGTCTGCCTTTAAAGTGCACTTTACGGTTTGGACCACTAGATGGCAACAAAGCATTTCATTCTGATCAACTTCTTCATAACATACAGTCTCTTGTTACATGCAAAGAAAACAGTTATTTACTGAATGCATTTTAATGTCAGTAACCTTTCACTTTTTAAAAGCAACTTACTAACCTAGAGCAGAGAATAGAAACATTTAAATGGGAGACAAATGTTTATACTGTGTGGCGACACACGGTGACAGATTCAGGGGATTGTGAAATGGGGATTAGGGCATTTTAAAAAAGACTGTCTGTAATTCTAAGTCAGAAAATGGATGAACGGCGGATTGACAGGTTTGTAATGCCATGTGTCCATATGGATAACAATAATCTCCTAATCTGGAACAACAGGGCCCTATTGTCTGGAGGCAGCGGCTTTACACGAGCATCAACAGTAATGGATGCGTTAGTTTACTTCTGCTTGACATATTTCATCTTCCTTTAATTTCTTTTTAGAATTGCCACTTAATGAAATAAACATTTAGCTGAAAATATAATTAATTTCTCAACTTTTATTTGATAGTATTGTTATTAATGTTTCTGTAAAAGCATCTTTAAGTACTATAAAAACTGTTACATAAAACAGATGTGTAATATTGATGATTATGATAACTATAATACTGGATACTGATGCTAGCTGACAATTACTTTTTTTAATCTTAGGTAGTATACAAACAAGGGATAGATAACACATTATTATTATTATTATTATTATTATTATTATTAGTAGTAGTAGTAGTAGTAGTAGTAGTAGTAGTAGTAGTAGTATTTTATTATCACTGTTTAGATTCTGGGAGTACATAGGAAAACATTACATGAAACATTTTTTATTATTGTTGTTGTTGTTATTTAAAATATTATTTCTATGCCTGTAAAACATCTTTAAGTGCATTGGAAAAGGTTGTATAAAACTAATTTATTATTACTACAGTTGTTTTTGTTGTTGTTGTTGTTGTAACTGTAGGGAATAACTGTTGGATGCTGATGCTGCCTTCAGGTTTCTACAAGACTCCTTCGACATTACAAGCTGGACCTTGGAACAATAATTCTTTCACCTGTTTCCCTGTAGAAAGCGCAGCAGTTCACACTGACGAAGCGAGAACATAATCTGACATGGTCAAATCGGGAAACGCTCATCTTCCTCTGCAGTCACCTGCCTCTCGGCTCGGTCACTCCATATTTATCTGGACTATGGGGGGATATTTTCCGACGGGCCGTGAAGGCGGCGCTGGATCCTGGGCTGGACAGGAAACGACGGAGCCGCGCAGCGTGTCTCCTCAGCAGCTCCGGGAGAAGAATGGGAACAGGGCTGTGGACTGAACATGCAGACGAGGCTGGGTGTGAAAACATGAGGACAACGGGCAGCTTTTAACCCTATTCAAAACAGAAATTACAGCCTTTCATATCAGGAGTTTTCCTTCTGTTTTCCCCCCTGAGGATATCTGCTCCCATTGGAGACCACGTTAGAAAAGAAGACCCTCTTTGTGGATTCACTGTAAGTGGATTTTTCTTCACTATTTGGCTTATTTTATCCCCATATTGCCTTTGTTTCTCTCATTTGAAATATGATTCTCATTAGGGGAAAATGTCAATCATAAATTGGCTAAATTTCTGTTTATTTTCTCTGCCCATCCTACACTGTATCCAGGGGGAAGGAAAAACGGAGGAGTATCTTGACTTTATAAAGGCTATTGGTGGTTTAAAAACCAACCCTTCATGTTGAATAAGTGTGTCATGGGGCTTTTTGAATGGGGGGTCCGTGTGCCCCCTTCTGCGGCCATTGAACAGCCCTTTTCTTGGGGTGGTGGGGGGAGAGAAAAGGGTGTGCAGCGTTTTGGGCCGACTGGGAAAAGAGCCGCAGCTTTTCATGGGAGTGACAATTGAACACGAGCCTGTTATTGTTGGGGGATATTTGTCCGTTTTTCTAGCCCAAGTAAAAAAAAAACCTGGGAGTCTTGTCTGAGGTATTTCCAACCTTAATCTCCCTCCCCTGCATCCAGCTAAACAGAAAGATGTGTAAGCTAGTCTCCACCCTGTTTAGCGGGAGGAGGCTATCAAGCTCCCGGTAATGGCCGATGGTATTGTCGCGCTAATGTTTATATTTTGCTGGTGCGTTTGGGGAAAAAGCGGATTATTTTTTTTGTCTTTAACAACCTGTGAGATGAGTGTAAATGTGTTAAAGTGCGGCAGGAGCTGGCTCATTAGTAGCTGCCTCTCCAATGCAGCTCATGGACACTGTTTTTAATTCCCTTTGTTGGGTGACGCCGCCGGCAGCTGATTGTTTGACCAGTGGCTATTCTCAATTTGATGCTAGCATCCACCTTAGCATCCACCTTAGCTAGCAGCTTCAGCCCAGGTGTTTTGTTCAGTCACAGTGAATCCTAATGGAAAAGTTAAAGCTCCAACACATGCAGTGGTTGCACTCCAAAACAAATGACTTGAACCATCCTCTCCCCCTCTCCCTCAAACCTTAAATTTACTTCCTGTCAGACATTAACATTGCAAAGATAGTGGCCCAGCACTGCCTGTGGGGTTCAAAGGTCACGTGGAGGGGAGCTGCTGGCTGTGCCACTGTCTGGCCGGCTGCCACATGCACCCAGGTTTGCTCGGAGTAAACATTTACTGCGTTGTTTGCACTGGCGAGGCCAGGTGAGGGCACATTTTAACTGGCTTTAATTCATTCCCAGGGTGACCGCAACAAAACAAAACAGCATTTTCTTCCTCCAAAGAAAGCCGCTAAGCAGCCACTTGGCCCAGCCTTTATTCCCCACAGTGGCTTTATAATAGACCGTCTGTGTCCTTAAGGCACGCTTGATTTGCATCCACAAAGCACTAGACGAGAAGCACATTATTCTGGGCATGGAGACAGTGCAGCGACAATGCGACCCATTCGTTTACAGTGCAGTTAATGGGTTGAAAATAACCACTGGCCTTCTGGTTGCTCACCCCTCAGGCAGATGCCTTTAAGCTTGTTAGGGTTTTTTTTTTTATGAAACAGGATAATAGCAGCAGTTTGGAGTCAGATTTCACTCGTTTTCTTGTCAGCGACACAGAAGAGACCAGAAATGAGTGATGCACAGAACACATCTGGAAAAGCCAACAAAATATTCCTTTGGGCATTGTTAAGTGTGGCTCTGTTTCCTGTGCTGTATCCTATTATGAATGTGTTTTTTAAGAACTTAATTATGAGCTGGTTATGTAAAATGGAAGGTCTAACAAATATTTGCTCTCTTTGATGTTAGAGGCAGCTTTTATGGCTTAATACCACCCTACAGCATTATTGTAGTTGTAGTTACATTGTACAGTTTTACTTTGACAGGCGTCTGTTTGTTCAATATTCATGTAAATTTTGTGTCCAACAAAAAAGGCCTTGATGCAAACACACAGCTAAAGATAAATCAGTGGGCATGAGAGCGTAGATCATAATCACAGTGTCATAGTCCTCTCTCTATTCTAAGCATAGACTGTATATGAAATATGCAAATATCCCGTCCTGGTGATAGTCACTGGGTTGTGGGTTACTGTTTTGAAGCTGGAAATTTGCTATTTGGCTGTGTACTGTCTTGGTCTTTGTAACCAGAAGGGTGGATCTAACTTGAGAACACTGTGCTTGGTGATATGGTCGCCACCTGTCAATCACAAGGCAGCCCCGCTCTAAAACATACCCTGCTTTATCTTCTATTTTCCACTCAATGGAACTGTAATTTCCAAAATGAACATCGTGCTGTATTAAAAATGTCTTGAAATTCGTGATTGAGACCGTAAATTCAAGAGGAAAATGTTTGCGGAGGCAACAAATCAAGTGAGAAGTGGGGTCATTTTCCTAAAGACGTCTATACAGCCCTCTGCTGACTGCTACTTCTGTGTCAGAGTTGATAAAAACTTGACCCAGTGGTGCCAAAAAAATACTGCCTAACACATCTTTAATGGTCCAAAAGACACAGCATTCAGTCAGTATTGTATGTAGCTCTGTCATAAAAAGCACAGCCATGGATTAAATTTCCACCCACAGAGATAAAACACATGTTACCGTGTCATTCCACTACTCCTGTTTAAAAGCGTATGTAAGGGATTTTTTTTTACTGTCAGCTTTCTTTCTCGAGGCTATTCACAAGAGAACCCAGGGAGAGGGTTATGTACCTCACAAGAAACATCAGCTCCCAACAAAAATACATAACCAGAAACATGGCTTTCTCATTCCTCCATGCTGGCCTGTTTTGCCAAAAGAGGAAGGGAAGAAATAAAACATCTTCTGTTTTGCTCACTCCATCCCTCTGCTCCTTTTCATCCATGCGTGATTTCCTTGGGATGTAGTTGATTAGATGAGAAAAACAGTTGTCAAAGAAATTTTAGGCTTGAGGAATGATCCCCGGAGACTGTTTGTGCGTTAGGGGAGATAGATTTGAAAGCTATTCTTGGTTTGTGTGTGTGTTAGCATCTCCTGGTCCGTCCATCTGTCAGCACTATGCTGGCTCTGTCGTGCGAGTTGCAAGGGCCCTGTCTGTCTCCCAACCATCCATCCACCCACCCATGTCCCTGGGCATTCCCTGCACAAAAGCTCCAAAGATGAGGCTGGGGGAAGGCGATGGTGGTTGGTGTAAGTTTACCCAGGTTGAGTTACAGCCGGGGGTGTAGGTGGGTAAAGGAGGGCAGGGGGAGGATGGCACTTCAAACGCAGCGCTCGGCTCAAACTGACGGAGCATCGGAGGGGGGGGTAGTGTAACGTGATATTTCCACGCTGATAGGAGGTACCGTGGCTTGGGTTGGGGAGCAGGGGAAAAACTGGACAAGGCCACCAGCTGCATCAGGGCCGAGCTCCTCGATGCCAACAAGATGCGTCATTATGGGTGTGTTGTGTGTGAGGGAAAATGCAAGAGAAAGTGTTTCATTCCTCATGGGTGTGTCCCCTCCTTGTTGTAGGCACGTGCTCCCCAGCCTCTATGGGGCCTTGTTCTGGTAACATTTTGCTGACCTTTGGTGACAGCTGCCCCTGCCATTTGCAAACAAAGGCAAATGGCTAAAAAAGCCTGCAAAACCTCTGCTATTCCAGAGCTGCTCTTCCTGTTGGCCTTTGCATATATATTTAGCGACTTATGTCAGCGCCTTCTACAGCAGGAATCAACAGTTTCAGATCGAGATACAGCCTTTGCTTTTGTCACAACGGGTTTTAATAATCACGAGTTGCAAGCCTAAATTTTACTATCTTACAGCTCAGTATTCAATGCTCTCCAACAGCAGGAAATGTAAAGGTGTGCTGAATTTCCCAACCGTATTAAAGCAATGTATGCATGGACAATGCAGCCTATTCTGTTTGCTGTACTACTGATTGGAGCAGGCAGAAGGAGGGCATCTCCTCCTCCACTTCTTTCAGGCAATACGTGATCTTTGTCCTTGTTCGGCAGGTGCACTCAAGCACACAAAGCAAATATGCATCGCTTTGTAAAGACAGCTCAAGATACAAGGATTGACCTACAATTGGATCTCTGCACCGTGTTGGTTCATAAATCTGTGCTAGTGGGTGAAGGCAGTATCATGAGTGTATGCATTTTTAGCACAGGTCAGTCCTGCTGGGATTTTCACTCTTAAAGGAAAAGCCCACTTTTAGATACTTTCACATGGCTGGATATTATTGTTAAAGTTTATTGTAAGTTTAAGAAATGTACTGTTACAGCCATATCTACATTTCCTAGATTGCTCTTCAACAACTATCAGAGAATGCGTTTGCATCTGTGAAGTGGAGTGAGCAAGTTACACAATACACAACATGTTTGCATTCTGGCTCATTGAAGCTACTGTCAATGGAGATACCTCTCATTCTTTTATGATGGATTTCTCTCTGTGTAATTGCAGTGCATCTGCAGAAAATTTACAGAGGCTAATACCAATATCAAACACTATTTGTTTCCATTTTAAGGACTGATCTGCACAAATGCCATTATTGGGGCCTTGCTACACTGCCTAAGCCACCTCAGTCTGCCAGTCTTTATCGCACTTCACACCACTTCTTCCATGACCTATTTTCCTATATTTTATCTGATCTGCTATGATACATGTTTAGCCCGTCGTATTGTTCATTCATTAATTGTCCCTTTTGTTGCTACCTCTTTCACTGTACAGTTTGTATAAGCTGCTTAGGCAGCTATTAATCACTGTGACTTTGACAATGGCAGGTGGCTGATTCTCACTGCTGGGTGGCTGGAGAGGAGGGCCCCCCCCTTCTCTTCTACTGTATTGCAGATGGTCTGTTTCATTCACTGTTGCAGGAGGTCAGTCTTTGTTAACTAAATAGTGCATGTGATAGGAAACGGGGGGCCCTTTTGTGGAGCATGCTGACTTGATTGTTGCTCTCCATCACGGACTCAAGTCAGTGTTGTATTTTTTGAGTACACGAGTACCCACATTATGTAAATGTCATCGCCTGTGTGAGTCCCTGCAAACAAGATTGTTTGCAGGGTTCACAGGCAGTTTTCAGGGCCACGATGCTACAAGGTAGTT